GTCCCAGCTACTTGGGCAGCTGAGGCAAGAGAATTGCTTAAGCCCAAGAGTTGGAAGTTGCTGTGAGCCGTGACGCCATAGAACTCTACCGAGGGTGACATAGTGAGACTCTGCCTCAAACTGCTCCCCCCGAAAACAAAAAGGAATATCATAATCAACTGGTTATAGAATAAAAAGGAAGAGCCAAATAGCTTGGGAGAAAGAAGACTGACATATAGAAATCAGAAGAAACAGTAATAATTAAAACCAAAGGATTCATTAAAAAAAAAACCTCTTGGGGAGATGGTGTAAAGAAAATAGCAAAGGGCTGAAAACATTATTGAATAAGCACATTTAGGACACACTAGGTATCAGGAGCTGGCAAAAAGTAAAGCAAATAGTAGAGAAAAAAAGTATCCTAAAGACAGATCATATAGGTTGCCAATAAGACTAAGTGGTTACTGTCAACATTATACAAAGACCAGCGGTCCCTTCTTAATCACTCTTCTCCCTCAACACCCATGGAATTAGAGTGAATCAGTTTATACTGAAGTCTACAGTCACTACCTTTCTAGTTCAGCATCCTTTATATTTTAATATAAAGACAGACTATGATCCAGAGAAAAGGCAGTATCACCAGACACACACAAAAATGTGGATGTAGAGCTCTGTGCAAGTGTGCTGCATTGTGGTACAAGTAGGGCAAGGGAAGGATATAAACCATTCATTAACCCTTAACAGCAAGTGCTCTGAGTTACATTCCTTTTGATCTCTAATAGTAGCAAATAATGCAACAGCCAGGATGGCTGGGAGATAAATAGGAGGAAGGACCTGGAGGAACAGCTAAGACAAAGTGAGAAAAGAATAAAATAGAGAACCAATGGAGCAAAACAACAGAGATCATCCAGTAATGTTTGGAAAATATCTTGGAACATAAAATTCAAAAACACTAAGATATTTTTATAGACTTCCTACATAGGGTCAAATAAAGGTCCTTAGCATTACAGAGATTATGTAGAATAGTTCTACCGTTTTACTTCTAACATTTCCAAATTAGTAAAGAAATTTGGCACAATGACAAACATTATGAGATTTAATAACACAGAAACAGAGTATGATGGCCATCATGATGTCCTGTGTGAGTTTTTAAAAATTTCTTGGTAAACCATCTTAATACTTTGAAAACACATAGAGTAAGCCATCTACAAAGTGACCACAAAAGACATAAGATGCTGTATTAAGATGAATGTAGCAGTTTTCCCTAGGCAACTGGGGATGTGTGATTTGTATTTCTCCAAGAAATGACTCAGAACTAACTTCAGGACAATAGTCTTTTCACATTATCACCTATTTTCTCTCCTTTCTTACCCTTTCGTCTTACTTTTCTGCTCAAATCTCTTACCATAGTTCTCATGAAACTATGGAGTCAGAAGTACCCTATCTCCTTAAAAAAAAAGATCATCAATAGCAATTAGGAATATGTGCTAAAAAAAAAAAAAAAGCTGAACATGCACAGAAAAGTAGAATGATACATTTCTTTCTCTTATCATTTTAAAACAGTTTATGAACAGGTAATTTAAGATTTTTCAATCTGAGTAAGATTCTACTTCATCTTTTACAGAAAAGACTAATAGGTCCTTTTAAGGACGGTTTTTACAAAAATATTTCAATTAGCTCACTGAAGGTCACTTTGATAGAAGAAAAGAAAGGTAAAGAAAATTAGCTAAGTTTCCTACCAACTGTACAATTCTAAAAATCCAGACAAAAACACAAAACAAGTCAGTTTTTTCATAATAGAATGTGAACTATCATACCCATTTAGATTCTACTTTTTTTTTCTAGACAGAGTCTCATGCTGTTGCCCTGGGTAGAGCACCATGGTGTCACAGCTCACAGCAAACTTAAAATTCTTGGGCACATCTAATTCTCTTGTCTCAGCCTCCCAAGTAGCTAGGACTACAGATGCCCACCAAAACACCCAGCTAGCTTTTCTATTTTTAGTAGAGATGAATCTTACTCTTGCTCAGTCTAGTCTTGAACTCCTAAACTCAAGCAATCCACCCTTCTTGGACTCCCAGAGTGCTAAGATTACAGGCTTTAACTATCATGCCCAGACTTCCATTTAGATTCTAAACATAGCCTATATTCACAGCTTCTTTAATATGAATAAAATCATACCTAAAACTCTTGTTTACCCAGTATTTTTCATAAAAAAATTACTTCTCTTAAAATTTCTATGCTGATAATATGATGCAATTTTCTTTCTTTTTTTTTTTTTTTTTTTTTTGAGACAGAGCCTCAAGCTGTCCCCCTGGGTAGAGTGCCGTGGCACTATAGCTCACAGCAACCTCCAACTCCTGGGCTCAAGCGAGTCTCCTGCCTCCGCCTCCCGAGTAGCTGGGACCACAGGCGCCCGCCACAACGCCAGGCTATTTTTTGGTTGCAGCCGTCATTGTTGTTTGGCGGGTCCGGGCTGGGGATTCGAACCCGCCACCTTAGGTGTACGTGGCTGGCGCCTTAGCCGGTTGAGCTATAGGCGCCGAGCCGCAATTTTCTAGAAGTTTCTTTTCACTTAAGTTTACTCTGCCTGGAAAAGGGAATATCCTAGAGAAAAAAAACAAAACAAAACCACAACACACAAAAGTACACATAATTCAGACCCATGTTCAGAAGTATATAGTATGTGTAGAAGAAAGTAATTTTATTATAGTTTGTCTTGAGAAAAGACACCCCTATTTATACAAATCTCATTCCTTTCTATGGAACAAAGTCAGCTCATTATTTTTTCTCAAGGGGTTCTTAAAAGGATACGTGTTCCATTAACTCCTGATATTTTAAAGTCATCGAGCAGTTGAACAACCATTTCTCTATTTGGATCATTAGGGTCTGAATTGCGAACCTGTAGTGGGAAAGAGACAGTAGTTAGCAAAAGACAAAGCCAAATGGTGGGGGAGGAATTCCTGTGGCTAATTAACTCAAGGAAAAGCTTATACAAATCGATTTTGAAAACATACTAAGATTTCAGTAGCTCAAATAGAGAAAGAACATACAGAGGCAGTTCACAAGAGAAAATATAACCAACAGACTATTTTCTAATTCAACCATTTTGCTTCTCAAAGTGTGGCCTCCAAATTAAAATGTTGGTTACCAGGTGGTGAGGAATTAAAAAGTTTTTGCAGGACGCAAATCAACTACAGCATTAACGATACTGTTTATACAGCTGACTTTTTTATTTTAATAGAAAAACTTTCTCAATGAAGGAAGTACTATGACAATTTACTTTGGAGCACAAGACTATCTATATTGACACTCTGAAAAAAAAAAAATACTGCCTGCCTTAGAGATATCCTGGTCGAATACTTTCACTTTAGGAATGAAAAACCTAAAGTTTAGAAGAAAAAAAAATGATGAGACAGGAGACATGTTGGGGTAAAGCTGAACCTAAACCCAGGTTTTCCAACTCTGTGTTTAAGTTTTCTACTGCAAGTCATGACATCTTCCTAATTTGTAACAAAACTGAAAACAAATTTGACAAAATTTACCTAAGTCTGCAAGTATAAATGGGATCAGTATATACAGTATTTTTATATTATGTATTTTATAACATTTTAAAGCATAAAATAAAGGGTATATAATTATTCACACAACTTTCCCTTTAACCATAAAGAAAAACATTTATAGCAGAGCTATCTGGCACATAAAACATGCTCAATGAGGCTGGGTGCAGTGGCTCACACCTGTAATCCTAGCACTCTGGGAGGCCGAGGTGGGTGGGTTGCCTGAGCTCATGATTTCGAGACCAGCCTGAGCCAAAGCAAGACCTCATCTCTAAAAAAAATAAAAATAAAAATAGCCAGGCAGCATCTGTGGCTCCATGAGTAGGGTGCCGGCCCCATATACTGAGGGTAGAGAGTTCAAACCCAGCCCTGGCAACAAAAAAATAGCTGGGCATTGTGGCGGGCACCTGTAGTCCCAGCTACTCAGGAAGCTGAGGCAAGAGAATCTTCTAAGCCCAAGAGCTGAAGGTTGCTGTGAGCTGTGATGCCATAGCACTCTACCAAGGGCAACAAAGTGAGACTCTGTCTCTAGAAAATAAAAAATAAACATAGCCAGGCATTGTGACAGGGGCCTGTAGTCCCAGCTACTTGGGAAGCTGAGACAAGAGAATCACTTGAGCCCAAGAGTTTGAGGTTGCTGTGAGCTATGGCACTCTACTGAGAGAGAGAAAGAGACTGTTTTTTTTTTTTTTTTTAAAAAACCAAACCAAACCAAAAACCTCAAAACATGTTCAGTGAACATTTTTGTTCTTCTGAAGTTTCTTTTTTTGGGTTCATGTAAGGAGAATTCTAATTATAGCATATACCACCAGTTCCCTACTATATACATAGAATGTATAAATACTGTTCTTTTATCTCTTCATATATATTGGAGATTTACAGGAAAAATTAGTCATGCTAAAGAATCTATCACTTTCCCAAGTATCTTAATGCAATAAACCTTTTAATGCTTTGCAGTTCACATGTTAATAAGACTTAATACTCACTGATTTCAGCAACCGGATTTCATCAAGTGCAGTTTCAGTATAATGTTCAGCACTTTTAACTACTTTCATTGCCACAAATTTCTTCCCCCTAAGTAATATACATAAGCGATTAAAACTAAATATCCTACCTTTACTTCAGGAAGCTAAGGGTTAGTTATAACTGAGGGACAGTGAGGAAGGACAAATATTTCTCTGTATCCAAACAAGCTACTTCTATGGGATCATTTGTACCTGTTAAAGGCACTAACTGGCTAGATTTCATTTACAAGAAGAAGATAATCTGTTCTCAGATAATCTCAGTTGTTGAACATTTTCTCTAAGTTAAAAATGCATCTCCTGGGCCGGGTGTGGTGGCTAACACTCTGGGAGGTTGAAGTGGGAGGATTACTTGAGCTCAGAAGTTCAAGACCAGCCTGAGCAACAGTGAGACTTCATCTCTACTAAATATAGAAAAATCAGGTGGGCATTGTGGCGGGTGCCTGTAGCTCCAGCTTCTTGGAAGGCTGAGGCAGGAGGGTTGCTTGAACTCAGGAGATGGGAGGTTGCTATGGGTGAGGCTGATGCCACGGGCACTCTAGCCTGAGCAAGAGAGTAAAGCATGCTATCTCAAAAAAAAAAAAAGTGGGTAGGTAAAAACAAAATGATAAAAGTCACACACACAAGGGCCAGGCACAGTGGCTCACATCTGTAATTCTAGCATTCTGGGAGGCTGAGGCGAGTGGACTGCTTGAGCTCATGAGTTTGAGACTAGCCTGAGCAAAAGTGAGATCTTATCTCTACTAAATAGAAAAACTGAGGCAAGAGGAACACTTGAGCCTAAGAGTTGGAGGCTGCTGTGAGCTATGATGCCATGGCACTCTACCCAGGGCTACAGCTTGAGACTGTCTCACACAAAGGTTTATCTATGACATTTAACTACTCCAATGAGATGACAGCTGTTAATTTACACATCATTCATCCACTGAATATACTTGTAATGCTTTAAATTTGGGAGTTCCAAATGGTTTACTGATAATTTAATCAAACTTAGGTTTTCTATGGCGAAAGGAAAGTGATTTGTCCAAGAACACAGAGATTATTATCAACCACAAAATTCTGATCAAGTAATCAGGCTAGAGACAGATTAAAGACCTGATTACCTTTGGAAAATTATAAATATATATATAGATAATATGTATATATGTAAATATATAGTAGGGTGTAAATATATACACACACACACACCCCCCCCACACACACACATAGAGAGAGAGAGTGGTAGGGAGAGCATGCGCGCACGAGCACAGGCCATCTTCTGACTAATTCTTTTTGAGGACCACTGAAACTTACTGAATATCCCATGATAACCACACTGTTGAAAAGTGTCCCCAGCCCAACTTTCGGATCACATGATATCTCCCATTGAATAAATCTCCAATTTTCACAAGATGATAACCTCCTGGAAGAAGCAACAGAAGAAATGTATCAGAAGAACCAATATAATCAGAAATAATCAATTAAACAGTAAGAAAAAGTATCTCACATGCCATTTTTTAACATCTATACACCTTTCATCAAATGAAGTTTCTTCTATACAATAAATAGAAGATGATCTTTGATTGTTATCAAATCACCCATAGCATTACCAAACTCATATTACAAAAAAATAAGTAACAAAAAAACTTGATTAATGAAAACATGAATAATATTGAGCAAGTGATGCTTTGTATAACAGTCTCATCCTTAAGCAAAAGTTAAAGTTACATATCACAGTATTTTTGGCACTGAATAATCCAATAGATTTACCTAAACATACAAATCTACTTATAGTTATAGTCTCAGAATGTTTTTTTTTGGGAGAGACAATAATGAACCCTACTTTATTTAGTTTTTAAAAAAGGAGGATTTAGCTTGGCACTTGTAGTTCAAGCAGCGAGGGTGCCAGCCACATACACTGAAGCTGGCGGGTTTGAATCCAGCCCAGGCCTGTCAAACAATAATGACAACTATAACCAAAGAATAGCCGGGCGTTGTGGCAGGCGCCTGTAGTCCCAGCTACTTGGGAGGCTGAGGCAAGAGAATAGCTTAAGCCTAAGAGTTGGAGGTTGCTGTGAGCTGTGACACCATGGCACTCTACCAGGGCAACAGCCTGAGACTCTGTCTCAATCAAAAAAACAAAAAAACAAAGGGAGGATTTGCTTCTCTAATAAAAACAAAACAAAAAACCAAGAAAGGCCTGAAAAGGTTGCCAAAGATGATAGGAATCAACAGACTTCCACTAGAGCTTAGCTTAGCGAGGCAGTGTGAAGTTTTGGGGAGGTGGAGGGTTCTGCTGAGGGAGTCATGTTCCAAGGCCTCTTCCAAAGTTCCCAGAATTTTGGAGTTCCACTCACTAGGCATGGTTGCTTTCCTAATATCGCCTCCCCTAGCGGCAGACAGAGAACCTCTGCACAGCAGCAGGGAGGCATGGTAACTTTATAGAAGAGCTTAAGAAGACAAGAGTGGCCCCCTCAGAAGCCAGAGCTGACTGGAGTTCCCTTGGGAAGAAGATCTATTCATTGGTTTTGTACCAAACCTGACTGGGCCTCAGTTGACAAAAGTACACGGGCAAGTGTATCAAACACAGGACATTCCTAGAGCAAATGATGAGAAAGAGCTGAAGGCAGATACATATTTCAACCACTAGATGGGATCTGTATGGAAGACGAAGGGGTCTGTGAAAGAGAGCTCCAGTCAGAGTAAGAAACACAGGACGAAAAGGAGTCTTGGTCCTGAGAGCGCTTGCAAGCACTTCTGGAGCTTCAATTATCATGAAGCACCTGGGCAGCTCGAGGCTGTCAGCCAACTTCAGAAATTATGCCATCAGTGGCTGAGGCCAGAGATCCACTTAAAAGAGCAGTTCTTGGAACTGCTAGTGGTAGAGCAGTTTCTGACCATTCTGCCCAAGGAGACCCAGTCTGGGTGCAGAAGCATCATCACCACAACATCAAACAGGCTGTGATCCTGGTAGAATGCTTGCAGAGAAAACCTGGTGGAACAAAGAATGAGGTTACAGCTTATGATCTGGGAAAGGAGGCAGTGCTCTTGGGAGGAACAGCAGTGGCACCAAGCTTTAAGTGGAATCCAGCAGACCCCCAACAAATGGGTATGTTCCAGAAAGAATGTTGGAATACATACCAGGTACTACAAGAACAGCTGGGCTGGAATACTCACAAAGAAAGCCAGCCTGTATATGAAAGAACTGTGCATGCTCAATAGATTTTAGCCCTTTCTGAGCAGAAAAGCACCAAAGACCAGAAGATGGCATCTGAGCTCATCTTGCCTGAGTTCTGAGTTGACGTTTGAAGATGTGGCCATGTATTTTTCTGAAGAAGAATGGCAATTATTGCATACTACTAAAAAGACCTCTACAATGATGTAATGCAGAATAACTATGAAACTGTCATCTCTCTAGGCTTAATGCTCAGAAATGACACTGGAAATCATCAACTGATATCTGTTTCTGCATCAGAGAAATAAAAATACCAATGCAAAGTGTCAAAAAATATTAGAATGAAAGTTGTCCAGCAAACAAGGGTATGGAAACAGCATCAACCTTTTCCAAGGAAGAAAAGAAGGAAAAGTTTCAACTTGTGAAGAAGAGCTTCCAAAACTTACATATCTTCATGGTAAAGACCACAAAGGAGAGAAACCTTTTAAATGTCAGGAATGTGGAAAAAGTTTCAGAGTTAGCTCTGATCTCATTAAACATCAGAGAATTCATACTGAAGAGAAACCCTATAAATGTCAACAGTGATAGGAGATTTAGATGGAGTTCAGATCTTCATTACACACCAAGGAATAAAACCATATAAATGCTCATGATTTGGGAAAAGCTTTAGTCATAACAAATCTACACACACACCCCCCAAAGAATTCACACAGCAGAGAAACCCTTTAAATGTCATGAATGTGGAAAAAGATTCTTTCAGAATTCCCACTTTATTAAACACCAGAGAACCCACACAGGTGAGCAGCCTTATACTTGTAGCATATGCAGGAGAAACTTCAGCAGGCAGTTGAAGTTAGACACCAGAAACTCCACAAGAGAAGCAAAGTGTGTCCAGTGTCTCCAGTTTGAGGAAAGTCACCAGATGGAACTTGACCCTCCATATGGTGATGAAAGAATATAAAATTATGCAGCACCCAATGATAGGAACTTGTCCTCAACAGAAAATTTGGGAGGGATACATGTTATACTTCAAAGAAAGGAATCTAAGCTGTCTCTCTTATTCAGCATTGTATCTTCAGTGCCTAGCACAAGACTGATACATAATGAGTATTTTATAAATAAAAGAATGAAAATATACCTATCAGTTATCTATAAAAAATGATAGGAATCCAGGTATTCTAATATTTATCTTTGCCTGCTAAGAATAGGAAGGACCAAGTTTTTCTCTCAGATGGTATAATACACTCTCTTATACATTCCTATCCAAGGTACCTGGGAAGTCTCAGCAAAAAACAGAACATACGTATAATAGGCAACCTGATGACACAGTTTGAAAATCTACAATTTCAGATTAACTTATCTTAGTAGCTGTCACTATGAGAAAAAATAAGAAGGTATTTTGCAAAAATCTCCACAATGAGATGTTGCCATTAGTTACTAGTGGGTGACAGTACTGCAAAGGCTTTTATTTTCATTACTATTTAATAGAGTTATGAAATTTTCTATAGTAAATACCTACGATCAGTTTTGTTTTGTTTTGTGACAGAGTTTCAAACTGTCACCCTGGATAGAGTGCCAAGGCATCACAGCTCACAGCAACCTCAAACTCTTGGGCTTGAGCGATCCTCTTGCCTCAGCCTCCCAAGTAGCTGTGACTACAGGCGCATAGCACAACGCCTGGCTATTTTTTGGTTGTAGTTGTTATTGTTTGGCAGGCTCGGGCTGGGTTCAAACCCACCAGCTCTGGTGCATGTGGCTGATGCCCTAGCCACTGAGCTATAAGCACCGAGCCTGTACGATCATTTTTAAAGAGGAAAAAAGGTAAAGACATTTAATATAAAATTAGCCTTTGATAAGAGCCAATACTATTTCCTACATCTTAAGAGAAGAGGATACAAAACAAAAACCATCAAAACTATTTTTATGTTGATAGATCAAAAACCCAAATGAGAAACTACAAATAGATTATATCTTACTATCTCTTCCCAGATTTACCTTTACAATAATCATTGGGATCTTCCTGCTCATCATCATCAGATCCCAGAATCTCCTCTTCTTGCTCTGGGAGATCACTCTCAGAGTGGGGAGCTGAGCCTCGGTGCTGAGCTTCAGATCTAAGAAATGGTACAAAAATGCTCATTTATTCCATTTAGAGAGAAGAAAACAGGACTTCAAGAAAATATCATTATCAAATACCACCTCCAAATAAACTTGAATATAAACAGAGTATTACCATACGGCAACCTACAGAAAGCTAATCTATAGTTGTACCTAACATTACTATAGCTAATCTACATAGCTTTATCTCATGTTAAGAAAATACTACTTTGGCTCGGCGCCTGTGGCTCAAGCGGCTAAGGCGCCAGCCACGTACACCTAAGGTGGCGGGTTCGAATCCCCAGCCCAGACCCGCCAAACAACAATGACGGCTGCAACCAAAAAATAGCCGGGCGTTGTGGCAGGCGCCTGTGGTCCCAGCTACTTGGGAGGCAGAGGCAGGAGACTCGCTTGAGCCCAGGAGTTGGAGGTTGCTGTGAGCTGTAATGCCACGGCACTCTACCCAGGGGGACAGCTTGAGGCTCTGTCTCAAAAAAAAAAAAAAAAAAGAAAAAGAAAATACTACTTTAAAAAAAGTCAGTATGATGATAATTAGATAAAACCTGAAAATATGTATATAAAAATTCAAAGGGGAACAAATTATTTGAATCTCAGTATCCAAACACAAGCACTGATAAAACTACCAAATTTTCTTCCAGTATTTCATTGTATCTTTATAAAAATATCCATAATCACATATTATATAAACAAACACACATCCTGCATTTTCTGTTATAAATTCTGTTTCTATGAAATCTCTTAAATCTTAACATGCTTCCCACTTATCACCACTTACTTTGGCACATTCTGTCCAGTAGGACATTTCGCACATTTCTAAATTTTTACCACTAAAAGTAAAGTTGTTGAATATTTGTGGATAATTTTTATTCTAAATTTAAGATTATTTCTCTAAAGGTAAACTATTGGATAGGGGTCAGAACATTCTCCCTATTTATAAAATGAACATGTTAAAATGTAGAAAATTTGGAAAGCACTTGTTCTAAAATAACTCTTAATCTGAACAACTGTTAATATTTTTGGATTATTTCCTTCTAGTCTGTGGCTATGAATGCTTTTACGGATCGTTACACAGTATAGTAGTTTTCTTTTGAGACAGAGTCTCAAGCTGTTGCTCTAGGTAGAGGGCTGTTGCATCATAGCTCACTATAACCTCCAACTCTTGGGCTCAAGTGGTCTTCTTGCCTCAGTTTTTCTATTTTTAGTAGAGAAGGGATCTTACTTTTGCTCAGGCTGGTCTTGAACTCATGAGCTCAAGCTATCCACCTGCCTCAGCCTCCCAGAGTGCCAAGATTACAGGCATGAGGTACCAAGCCTGGCCTGTATAGTAGTTTTTATTCTAAAAAGAGTTGTAACCGAATTACATTCCCATCAGCTACATATATGCTTCTGGTATTTAAGTACTACCCAGTTAAGAAAGTTCACCTCGATAGATAAAAATGATCTCTCATTTCATAATGCATTAAATTTTATTGATTCCTTTCTCTATAAGTCCTCAATTGGCAATATTGTACTTTTTGTGCACTGAGACATTCAGGAGGCAGAAAGACCTGGATTTGCATATACGCTTTGACACTTACTAGCTGCCTGTCTTCTAAGAGCTTTAAGCCAAAAAGGTTAAATAGCATCCTTTCCTAGTTGTAGAAGAAATTTTAATTGTCATTTCTAAATACATATTTACATTTTCAACAACTTGTTTCATCAGTTTTGAAGAGATTCAATTTAACAGAAAAAATGCTAATAGCAAAACCTGTTACACAGTACTGAGATACTGAGACATAAGTACTACTTTGGATGTGTCTAATGATTTAGATTTAGATTTCTGGTACCATTCCAACCTTCCTCCATTCTTGGTATGGATTTTTGTCCCCTGTAAAGCAGCTATAAAACTGCATAATTCGGTGTTCATTTTAAGTAAAAACATGTCTTTGAGAAACTTATTCAGTAATGAACTGGTCTACTTTCCTAAGTAGAAATAACAAGTCTGAATAAACAACATTCCTAAACTTGAAAATAAGGTGGAATTCTAAAATGGATTCTCTGATTCAAATTTAATTATAGTAAGAACTACAACTGTGAAATTTGTGAAAAGCAGTGAAATGTAAGTAGTGAAAACCAGATTTAACAATGCTGGAGAATTAATAGAATTCCTCAAGTATCATAAGGATAGTAACATCAAAACCTACTTTTTTATCTTCTGGTTTATAGGTTCTGGGAAAAAAAGATAAAAATAGGGAAAATTTTAAAAACAAAAAAGAAAAAAATAAAGAGAAAAAAATTATTTTTTTAAAGATACAAACCATTTTTGAAAGCAAGTAGTTTTATGAAGACTTGTCCTTATAAAACTGAACACACATAATTATCATTCTCATTTAAAGAATTCAAGACTGAATAATAAATTGTTAGCCACAATGTGATGTGTAAGTCTCCTGACATTTGTTTGGTGCACAGAAGAAAATCTCTTCTTATTTCAAATTGATTATCTAAATATATGATTACCTTAGTATTTATTCTAAATATATTATCTAAGGGGGAAAACCCCATTTTAAATTTTCAAATTTCACTTTAAAAATTTTAGTCCCAGTTGGGTGAGACAGTTCATACCTATACCCCCCAAAATTTGAAAAGTCAAGACAGGAGGATCACTTGAGGCCAAGAGTTCAAGAGCAGGCCAGGCAACACAGTGAGAATACATCTCAAACAAATAAAAAAATAGGCTCAGTGCCTGTAGCTCAAGCAGCTAGGGTGTCAGTCACATACACCAGAGCTGGTGGGTTTAAATCCAGCCTGGGCCTGCCAAACAACAACTACGACCAAAAACTAACCAAGTGTTGTGGCGAGCGCCTGTAGTCCCAGCTGCTTGGGAGGCTAAGGCAAGAGAATTGCTTAGGCCCGGGAGTTGGAGGTTGCTGTGAGCTGTGACACCATACCACTCTACCCAGGGGGACATCTTGAGACTCTGTTTCAAAGGAAAATAAATAAACAAATAAAAATAAAGAAATAGGTGACACATGCTTCATGCCTATATTGTTAGCCAGTTGGGAAGCTGAGGCAGGAGGACTACTTGAGCTGGTAAGTTTGAGGTTGCAATGTGTTATCATGATACATTCTAGCTTCACTGACAGAGAGCCTCTTATCTCAAAAAAATTTTTAAAAATAAAAAGAACTCCAAAAACAAAAAACAAAAAAACTTGACACAGAAACTCTCAATTAATGAAAAGAGAGATGATACTGTCAAATTAGTCACAGTTTTTCCCTCTTAAGGATTCTTTCAACTCAGAGTCCATTTCTGATATAATCTTCATTACTAACCACCCTTCATCCATCCCAATCACCAAAACCCCCCTAAAATAGTAAAACCAAAGTATCAAACACAAACTTACTAAGAACTATTTGTGTGCAAAAGTAATTGTGGTTTTTGCATTGTTGAAATTTGTCATTTGATACTGGAATACAATCTTAAATAAATGTGGTTATGTTATACACCATTTTAATGCTCATTTCTCATCTTTTTTTGCTAATGATTTCCTATTTGCTGTTTATTTTATATTTACTTTGGACTATGGAAATGATGTTAGACAAAAAGCAAATTCAAGCTATTTTCTTTAAGTTCAAACGGGTTGGTTATAAAGCAGCGGAGACACAACTCACAATATATAGCACGTTTGGCCCAGAAACTGTTAATAAATGTATAATGCAGAACTGGTTCAAGTTTTTCAAAGCTGGGTGTGGTGGCTCGTGCCTGTAATCCCAGCACTTTTGGAGGCCAAAGTGAGAGGATCACCTGAGCTCACGAGTTTGAGACCAGCCTGAGCTAGAGCAAGACCCCATCTCTAAAAAAAATAGTCAGGCATTGTGGTGGGTGCCTGTCCCAGCTACTCAGGAGGCTGAGGCAAGAGAATTTGCTTGAGCCCAAGAGTTAGAGGTTGCTGTGAGCTATAATGGCATGGCATTCTGCCAAGGGCAACAAAGTGAGACTCTTTTTCAGAAAAAAAAAAAAAAAGTTTTCCAAAGGAGACAAGAGCCTTGAAGATGAGGAGCATAGTAAAAGTTGATGATTACCAACTGAGAACAAATCATAAAAACTCAGACAACTACGTGAGAAATTGCTAAAGAACTCAACACCAAGCATTCTACAGTCATCTGGCATTTGAAGCAAATTGGAAAAGTGAAAAGCTCGATAAGTGGGTGCTTCATGAGTTGACTGAAAATCAGAGCAATCATTGTTTTCAAACATCATCTCTTATTTTATGCAATAAGAGACCATTTCTCGATTGGAAGTGGATTGTACATGATAAGTGGCAACAACCAGCTCACTGGTTGGACTGAGAAGACCCTCCAAAGCACTTCCCAAAGCCAAACGTGCATAAAACAGGTCATGATCACTGTTCAGTGGTCTGCTGTTGGTCTGATCCACTACAGCTTTCTGAATCCCAGAGAAACCATTACATCTGAGAAGTATGCTCAGCAAATTGATGAGATGCACGCCAAAACACAATGCCTGCAGTTGGCACGAGTCAAAAGAAAGGGCCATGACAATGCCCAAAGGCAGGCAAATCACACAACCAATGCTTCAGAAGATCAAATTAGGCTATAAAGTTTTGCTTCATCTGCCATGTTCACCTGATCTCTTGTCAACTAACAACCATTTCTTCAAGCATCTTGACAACTTTTTGTAGGGAAAAACACTTTGACAACCATCAGGATGCAGAAAATGTTTTCCAAGAGTTTGTCCAATCCCAAACATAAATTTTTACACCACAGGAGGAAACAAACTTATTTCTCTTGGCAACAATGTATTCATTATAATTGTTCCTATTTTAAATAATAAAGATGTGTTTGAGCCTAATTATAATGATTCATGGTCTAAAACCACAATTACTTTTGCACCAATGTAATATTTATAATCTCCATGAGAAATACACTATTTATAGGTTTCAGGAATTTATATTTATAAATATAAATTTATATTTATAAAACTATGGTTGTTGTTGAGACA